TGGCCCTAACAGCTCTGAATTTGACTTGATGCTCTAAACTTTGAAACATTTGTCCAGGAAATTGCATCACATGCTCCTCTGCGGGCCCTGAGATAGCATAAAAAGCACAGCATGCCAAGATACCTTAACAATGAGCATGGGGGACTCTGTCTTTGTCCTATATTCAATTTGTCTTGGGGTAATGGAGAAGAAAGTAGAACTCCAGGATAGTTACAAAGAACCTTTTTCAGACTTACTGAGTCAACATGCACATCTATCAGTGTGCCATGACCTTAGGCTCCCATACTTCCAGGCTCCTGTCCCCCAGGAGAGGGCTGGCCTTCCCAGCTGGTGTGTGTCTGGTGACAGCACACCCATGTCAGAGATGGCACTTGAGCTTCAAGTCACCATTAATGTGCTGACAAAGAATCCCCACCTTGTTCAACCAACACAAACCTTTTGCCTGAGCGTAGATGGTGCTGAGTCAATAAATGTAGGTTTCTTGATGCAAAGGGACGTGCTGTGCTCCAAATGCATCATCAGAATCACAGATTAGCGATGTCTTTTTAAAAATGTGCTCCGAACATGAGTTTTTCCTTCCAAAAATAACTTTTATTTTGTTCATATTAGAAGAGCAGGATGTTCTTTCCTGTCCTGAAGGGATAAGGAGGAAATGAGAACTATGGGGTTCTTATATGGTATGAGCTACTATTCTTCTGGACTAGTGCTGTGAATCTTGATTTTTTTTCTCCCCAGGCTTAGCATTTTATTCCCCATGGACCTCATTTTGCATTCATTCATGCTGATGTTACTCCAGTGAAGCTCTCTGATATCAAAGGCATTCCTCCATGTTTACAACCTCTCTCATCCTAAGGCAATAGACATTAGAAGGGAGGCAACCTACTGAAGGCAGTGCATGCTAAATGTCTCAATTCCCTTTTCGAATGAGATAAAGTCAGTTGAGAGACATGAGTGGGGGCAGAAAGCATCCTTTCCTGTACTCTGTGTTCAAGGAAAGAGACAGCAGTTTGGAGGAAATGTGAACGTAATGGACTGTACATTTGTATCCCATTGTACCGAGGTCTGACAGGAAACACTTGGGGCTTGATTCAGGAAAAAGTAAATCGGATCCCTTTATAACACTCTCATAACCCCGGTTATCCTGCAGTATTTGACTACATCCCTGTCTTTAATGTATATATTCTCACAGCTCTCTCCAGAAGACCAGAAGGAAATCTGGTCACTGGGGAGCAAGGGAGGCATGGGAAGAGATTTTACAACATTTTCCATCCGATGGCCCTCCTGAGTGACAGCAAAAGGCCAGCAGCCCTTCACTTTTAAACCAAAGGGACTCCTGAGCAGCTGCCATTATTGACTGCCGCCATAAGCAGTTCCTTACATGAGGAAAGCTGCAAATACCAAACTTTAGATAATTTCTGAGCAGCCTCTGCCAAGCCCATGAGAGCTTTTTGTTGTCATTGGCCTTCACTGTAATGTGTAGATGGTTGCAGTGAGTTCCCACCACATGTGCAGGGCCAGAGGCTCCTCAGCAGGCACTGCAGAATCCCTTGGTTAGAGGTTCACCCTGCAGCAACATGGAAGAGGTTCCAGCCCTCAGCATTCAGCAGCTCTGTTCCTCAGGCAGCCCGCTGGGTTCTGTGGGATCTGTGCTGGTCCCTGGAAATGCCTTTAACTGCTCCCAAGGGAGCTCCCTCCCAGAGTGAGCAGGGTCAGGGAGCTGTTAGAGCCTTTGTCTGTGGGGAACACGCAGTACCACCAGTGTTTGGCATTCTGCTGTACAGCTCACGAAGCTGCAAAGATTGAAAAAGAAACCACCCCCCACACGTGACCCAGAAGAGACGGATTGAGGACATAATGCCCCTGATTGAAAAGGGAGGCACCCAGGACACCTTGTGGTGTATATATATATATATATATTTTTTTTTTAACTAGAGCTAAAGTAATTTGGCATGTGTGTCCCCTGAGCTACTTCCTAAACCACAGCTGCATGAGGAATTATCTAGCTCTTAGCTGAAGTAACTTCTCAAAAAAAAAACCCAAACATGTAGGTCATCAAAGTGCTAATAAAAAAATTTAAAAAAAAAAAAAAGAAGTTGATGAATCTCTGAGCAGTGCTCTGATTATCTCTCTGTGGGGAATGAAGAACTCATTAACATGAGCTCCATGCCACTCCCTCGTCCTTTCTCTGAGTTTGGCATAAAGCAAGGAAACAAATGTCTGTGGTTTGGCCAAGTTTCTAATGAGTAGCTCAGCTAGGTCCACTGATTAGACACGTGGCTCTATGGAGGGTGAAAAGGCTGCCCTGCCATGTAAAGTGGCAAAGAGTGGCAAAGCATTTCTGCCACACTGGGTTCCCAAAAAGGAAATACTTTACTTCTTGTGTGGATTTTTTTCAATGGATTTAGCAAGAACTGTACACAGAGAGGGTTTCCTTGACATGGCCAACAGAGAGAAACAGTGTGAGGTCCAGAGAGGGCAACAAAGGCGGGTGTATGTCTGAGGGGTCCCTCTCCAAAAATTGTTGTTGCAGCTTGCTATGTGTTTGGTTTCACTTGTTAAGGGGGGGTTTGCTACTAAAATACAGTCCAAACCCAGAAGAACAGTCCTGCCTATCATCTGTCCTCCCTGCTGTGGGTGTTACCTGTCCCACTGCACAGAAGGATGTCTGCAGAGCAGCCCCCAGGCACTGCTGGAGCCCACAGGCAGAGGTCTCCATTTGCTGCATCACCTGCAGCAGCTGCAGCACAGAGGTCTGCCTAACTAAGAATGGCCCACTCCACTGACTCTCTGGAAGCACCTGGCAGCTTTTTGAAGGAATGAACAAAAACTCCAGAACTAATGGGAGAAGTCTCTTCCATGCAGGAAAGTTTCTCCTTGACAATGTTTGTTTCATTTATAGCTTGAATCATCAGTACATGTCAGCTTCATATCATAATCCTTCCAACACTAAAGTAGAACTCATCTACATGCCCAGGAGAAGAAAACTCACCCTACAATAAACCTGAAAGGCATCTGCTGGGATAAGCAACTGCTGCCTCTGAAATTCAAATATCAGGGTGTGTGATCAATGTCACGCAGCACCTTAGCACTCCTGAGACATCAAGTCTGTCCCCTGCTGCTGCAGACAATGCATTGTATAATGACTTTAATAAACTACAACTTAAAAGCAGTGAGATTTTCCATTCCAAATATCCCCTCAGAAAAGGCAGTATTTGATTGCTGTAATGGTTAACAGCTCTCTTCTGGTTTCCAGCTGAAATTTGTGTGTGGCCGGTTCCTATTCAATCCCTTATGCGCCTGCACCCTCTCTAGTAAGCAGCTGTCTGGGCCAGAGCTCAGAATTCAAGGCAATTCCCAACCCACCAATTTAATTCCAGTATCACCCTCATTTTCAAAACCACACCTAAAGTTTGTAATTTATTGGCCTCTTCAGGTTCATGGTTTATTAAAACATGATACAGCTGTAATTTTTTTCCAAAAGGAAATAAAAATGAGGGGATGAACATGGATGGAACAGCCCTACTAATTCCATGAGTGTTAAACTGAATTAATAGGCAAATTGGAGAAAGCAAATTGCTCCAACCTTCATAGCACAGTCCACATGTAATTATATATTCTTCCTGTGCCCAAGGTAAGTTTTAATTTCCAACAGCCACCAGATAGTTAAAAGTCCTGTACTAAATAACAGATGCTGTGCCACCTCATCTCCTTATTAGTGGCCGGTACCTGCAGGTTCCCGTGGCGCTGGTGCAGTCAGGTGGAGCCATCTCAGTGCTGGGTACACATTTGCAAAGTTAAAACATGTTCTGCACCCTCTCTGTATTCAAATCAGACACCCCATGGCTGGACAGATTGCTGCCTCAGGCACTTTTTTTCTCCAAGGACCTCTCAAACTCCCAAGGGCCCTTGCTTGGGATGGTCCTGTAGCTCCCCCACTGCTGTGACGCTGACTCCATCAGAAGAGGGTCCTGGCACACAGGGTCTTCATCCTACCCTGCTCCAGCCCTGCTGCTTTCCCCAGGACCACAGTCCTCGAGGCACTCTTTAAAAGCGAGCAGTACGCAGAATTAAAAGTTTTTGTCCCCCGAATATACGTGGAGTTAGTTAATGTGTGATTTTACACCTGTGAACAGCAGTGCTGATTTCAAAGGGACCTTCTAAGACTTTCAAGCATATTTTACAAAGTTTCTACTTTATCCTGCTTGTAATTCCCTCCTAGCCTGGATCGTGGGGACTCGTTGACCTTGAAGACTTCTGCATCTTAGAAATAATTAAAAACATAATTAAAATACAGAGGAGTTTTTTATTTGTTTTGTTTTGGTTTTTGTTTTGGTTTTTTTTTGCATAAAAAGGAGAACTATCACCCAGTGCTTCCGTGGCTTCAAACGTCAGATCAGAGCCGCTCAGATGTAACAAAACCAGCTCTGAAACCGAGAAACCAAGTAACTTTGGGTGGGGAACCAAGAACAGGGATGATTTCAGCCGCAAAGCGGAACAACTAGAGAAAGCCAAGAAAACAAAAAACAGGGAGGAAAAGAAAAAAAAAAAAAAAAGAGAGAGAAAGAAAGGACAGTGTTTGCCAATATGACTTTAGCATTTTGTGCAGCTTTTTTTAGCCAGGGCTGCTCTCGGCAAAAGAGCTTTCTCCTGAGCAGCACGAGCCATCTGGAGAAGCCGTCTGCCGCCTTTCAGCCTCAACAACTGTTTAAATTTCTCACAATTTCACTTCCAACCCAGGGTTTTGTTGTTGTTTGCTCAGGGGGCGTGGATTCTTTATTCATTTTACCCGCACACTTTTCCCCCGTGCGGCGGCCACCGCGGGGTCCCTCTCCAGCGGCACGGCCCCTCGGGATCGATGCTCCAGCCCCGCACTGCAGGTAGGCAGGGGCGCGGGGCGGGCGGCAACAATGGAGCGCAGCCGGGGCGGAGGACACTGCCGGTGCCGCCGCCCCTCGGCCAAGTTGGAAGCCGCGGAAGGGCGAGGGAAGGCGGCCGTAATTCCAGCTTGGCCGAGGGGCGGCCGGGGAAGGACGGCGGGCGAGCCCCCAACGCTGCCAGATAGTGATCCCGAGCGGGCGGGCAGGCGCGGGAGGAGGAGCCCAGGTGTCCCTTCCTGCCACATAGTGCGCCGCCCCTTTCCCCGCCCGCTCCCGCGGTGGTGCTGGCGCTCCCGCCGCCGGGCGCGGGGATGGACTGCAGCACAAAGGCGCGGGCCCGCTGAGGTAACGCTGCCCGGGCTGCGGGCACCGGCGGGGGGACGGCGGGCAGCGGGGATCTCCCTTCCCGCCCGGCGCGGCGCCGCGGCCGCCCCGGAGCCGCGGTCGGGGAAGGGGGGGCGGCGGCGGCCGGAGGCCCCGAGCGCTCCCCGCGGTGCCGCGGCCGCCCCGGGGCTGCGGGGGGAGCGCGGGGCCGCGGCCGGCGGCGGGATGGGGCGGTGCGGGGGCACCGCGGGGCCGAGGGGGAACTTGCCCGCGGGTCTACGCCAGCTCTCCGCCGGGGGAGATGCTGCAGTGCTGTCGTTCTGCCTCGGCGCTGGGCTGAGGAGGAGGACGAGGCTTTAAATAATGCGCCTCCGCTCCGAAACTCAGCTAATCAAATAAAACCTTGGGAGTGATTGTTGCAACTACGAGCTGTCCTTGCTCCACCGCGAGGCTCCGGGCTCCCTACGCCTCTCGGAAAACTTCTTAAAATCTACATTATTTGGGGGTTTTATAGTGGCGCGCAGCTCCACCTTGGCCGTGGGTCGCGGTGCGGCGAGCCCGGGATTGCGCTTCCCGGTGCAGGCTCAGGCATTCCGGTCACGGCAGCGCGGACCCACCGGCGTGACCGGCATCAGCCCAGCGCCGCTCGCTGCTGCGGGCTCGCCCTGGCCACCCAGCCCCCTGCTCTGCTCGCAGTTTGGAATTATCTCCAATCTGTGCTTGTCCTAGGGAGGAGGAAATTCAGGATTGCTGCCTTGAACTTTAGGCTCCAGAAATGAGAATTTACGATGGGCCTTTTGGGAGTTTGTTCCTCGGTGTTGGTCAGTTTTCATCTCGCATTAAAAAGCTTATTTAAGAATTCAGAGCGGAGTTATCAGTCAGTGTGCACTGTAGACTTCAGGGCAGGCAACGTCTGCATGGCTGAACGATGGGTTTTTGGCAGGGAAGCCTTGGAGTGGCTCTGTAAGGAGGGTAGAGCATGCCTGAAAAGCAACGATGTGGTCGTGGAGGTGGGTTGTCTCTGTTTCTGTCTCAGCATCATTATGTTACAGGCAGGTTGAGCCTGAATCTGCTGGTTTTCATTCACATGTTCTGGACTCGTGTCTGGAGGGTAGTGATGTGATACCGAGTGGAGGGAAAATGTGTAGGCATGTGCCTCATCTGCGTAGTTCCACTATGTGGAGGAGTTAAGTTTAAAACAACAAATAGATAAAATCAATGGCAATGAATATCTGGGCCAAAAAATGAATGGCCAAGGGTTATAAAGGCATGAATGTATGGAATTGCTGAATTGTGTGGGAGAAGTTGCTGCTTAAATGAGCTTTGGTACCAGAGGAATGAAGCTGACAAATGTAACCTCAGCCTTTCAGAGAGCGCTTTGGTGTGCCTGGGGCAGCTTCAGGCTGTCTCGCTTACCTTCTGGTCCAGTTGCTGATGACTGGAGTGCAGCACAGGTGTGGCAGAAGTCTGGCTCTGTGTGATCTGCTGGGAGGGGACGGTGGTGGCTTTTGGGGGGAGTGGTGCAAGACGGGACAGGTTCTGCACGTGTCTGAAACTCCCTTTTGCCTCCCTGCCAGGGTTTGTCTTGTACCAGGGAGTTCTCAGGGCTACACACCCGGTCACTTCAGTGGCCTTGCTGGCTGGAAACTGTGTGTGAACAAATTGTACGAACCTCCTTGGTGGCATCCAGTACTTGCAGGGAAGGAAAGTGTCAACCCAGGGGACAGCATGAGCTCTTTGACTGTTATCAGACAAGCTCCTCAATGCTGATTTGAGTAAGAAGTGCATGTATTTCTCAATGAAACAAAATTATAATTGTGTAACTAATAGAATAGACTATACCAGTTTTAACTTTAGATGTTGACATGTTAACACTTTTAGCGTTAGTTGCATTATTTCTCAGAAGATATTATTACTTGAGTTTAATTTTTCTTGGAAGAATGTGAAGTCCCAGGCAGGAAGGGGTGGGCTGCTTAGGGGTTGAGTGTTTAATGATAGAGGTTACTGCACGACGATGATGATGATGATGATTAAGCACGTCCTTAATTCCTGACCAATAGATGGAGTGCTGCTATGCTTTAGGATATCTGGGGATTTAATGGTCTCTTGGTTAAATCAGTCATTATCCTTGACTCTTGCCTGAGGATTGAGGCAGCTGACATTATTTAAGGGAAAGGTGATTTTAGGGTGGTGCATTTAAGCTGTCATGTACCCCACAATCATCTAACCCAAAGCGAAGATGCAGGTGATGCTCTGACCCCCAGGCTTTGCAGTGCTTGCAGGGTGGTTGGACTGGAGCGATCTGGGGGAGCGGGGCAGTGTCACTGCCTTGGCCAGCAAGGTGTACTGCAGCCCTTGCAGTGCCCCTTTGCTGGTTATGGAATGAGCTGGTGGACAGGGCTGGCTGAGCCCAGCTGGGCTCGGTGTAGCTGGGCTGGAACGGTCCCTGTTGCATGTGATGTTAGAGGTGACATTGCACGCAGGGCCGCCAGCTTTTGTTCAGCTTCACTTGTTAGAGGCCAAATGACCTGGCATAAGACTCTGTTTGCTGTGAAAATCGTGAGAAATTAACATGTAAGAGTGAAAATCGTGAGAAATTGACATGCAAGAGACGAGAAATGAAAACTGTTTTAAGAAAGGCCAGCATTAGTTTGTTTCCTTTTGTAAGGGAATGTTTTACGGATCAAGAACTGAACTGAAAGAAGGCAAAAGGCTGCTGGTTTTTCCCTTGTTAAAATCATCATTGCCAGTTAAAACTGCAGCGCTGTCCTTGCTGCGCTGTGGATGGTGCTGGAATGATAATGCTTTAAAAAAACAATTTTAATTTAGGGGAATAGCTTGCCTCACTTTGAGATGGTGCATAAAATTGCCTTTTTGCTCGCACTTTTTAAACTGCATATGAATTCTAGTTTAAAAAATGTCCTGTAACTTCAGCAGCCGTAGTAACCTCTGGCTATTATTTCCCTTGTAAATCAATTTTGCATTTTCATAGTGCTGCTGCTTCAAAAACCAAATCGGTCATTGTTTTGGTATTGACTTAGAAGAATGCAATCTATATTTTTTAATAGCATTGCTTCCCCTTACATCACAGGCTTTTCTTCAAGCTATGTTTTGAAATGCCTTATTGCCATATGAGAGATGGTGGTGTGGCTTCTGGTAGGATTCTTGGGGGTTAGTTCTCTTTTGTGTAGTGTTTTTTGGCAGATGAAGATGAATAAAAAGTACTTGACAGGGAGCAAGCAGTAACTTACTCATTGTGTGTTAATATTAGTTCTGTTTGCCCACAGAGTCTACTCTGCTTCTATATGAACTCTGAGTCACTTGACATGTGGGAAAACACTTTTGTTTCTTTTCTGTATTCAAGATAACACGTGTCATTGTACATCATCACAAATGGGATTTTGAAGGATTTAATTTAAAGATATCCTAGCAAGTACATGGCTTTTCTGCAGATAATTTGTGATCCGGATTATTAATTAAGAGAAACAAATTTTAATTGGTTAGATAAGAAAGTATGTTCAGTTATGGCATGCTCTTAATCTGGGCTGGTGGCAGAGGGATGGCAGTTCAAAACTGTAGAGTAAGCTGCAAAATGCTGACTACTAAAAACTTGAAAATTTCTACAGATTCACTGAGAAGTTGGAGAGTGGGAGAAGGCTTGAGAGCATCACACCTCAGTGGGAGGGTGATGGCTTCCAGTATTGCCCCCTGGATCATTACAGTCTGGTGAATGTGATGTAGGTATCTGTTTATTTAGGACTCTGGGAGCATATTAAACATTGTTCGTGTCTTATGGTAGTAATGTCAATTCTGCTCAACAAGGATGCAATTCCGCTGTTACAAAGTGCTAATTAGGGAAATATTCTAATGGCCTCATTCATTGTTCTCATCTGTTAAACTGTTGTGGTCTTGGCTAGGAAGAAACTCTTTTCTTGCCTTGTATTGTCTAGCGTGTTAAAATCCAAGTGGCATCAAAGCAGGAGGAAAACTCACAGTTTTCATGTGAGTCAGCAGGCTGAGGTGAGGATCCGTAAATCACAGGCTGGTGTGAGAGCTGGGGCTTGCTTTGTAGCATTTCACGTTGTGTTTTCTTGACCCACAGCAGCTAACAGCTGGTAAATCCCTTCTCCCTCGTGCAGCTGGAATCTCCTGAAGTTACTTCTCCAGCTGAAGTACGTGGCAGTCCTGAGCAGCAGGAGCTGACAGCAGCTTACTGCTGTTCCCATTGTTGCTGTGCTGCCCTGAGCGAGTACCTGGCGTTACTGGCAGCCCTTCAGCCAAGAGCTGAACTCTGCTGTGTTGGCCAGACCAAGAGGATTCATTGAACTGCTTTGAAAATCTCTGCTTGTTGTCTTCATCTAGACCTGTAATAACTGATCCCAAGTTTTTTTTTTTTTTGTTTTTGTTTTTTTTTTTTTTAATATTATGCATATGTTCAAGTGTTAAGTTTCGTTGTTTGGGGTTTTTTGACTTTTTTTTCTTGTAGAAAACAAGTATCCCTCTGCATGTCATTCATTGCTATTACACTGAACACAGCCTAGGTTAGAGGCCAGGTGGACCTGCATGTTCTGTGTGCAAATGCACAGTAAATGTCAGCCCTGGAAGGACACCTGCATTTTGCACTCTGTGGTAAACAGAGTGCAAAAGAGGAAAGCTTACTTGGTGGGTAAAACTTGCTTAACTATTCAATACAGTCAAAATAAGGGAGGAAAAAATATAATTGTAAATATATATTTTATTTCCCCCTACAAATGTAGACCAGCTTTCTTTTTTTTTTTTTTTCTTTTTTTTTTTTTTCTTTTTTTTTTTTGTTGGACAGCTCTAGAAGTCTTGGCAGAATGCTGTGGGAGCAGTTTGGTACTGAAGTTGTCTGTGTGAGTCAAATAAATAGTTTCTAGAGCAATGTAAATTATAAATTGGCTGGGTTCAAAGAGACTGCTGGTATTAATGTAAGTAATTTCATATAATCCAGTATCCCAGTACTGTCTTAACAACCCATATGATGTTTTAGTCTTTATGGC